GTGCTTCAGGGGATCAAGGCAGCGGGGCTAGAGGACTTTCTTGACGTCCTTTACCAAAGGTGCGACTCCCGGGCAGGGTGAAACGAATTGTCTAAAGGCAGCTCCCAGATCCTCCAGGTCCAACTCGGCGCTGATGTCTCTGGAGCGGTTGAAGACGGTCTTCAAGCTCGCGGCGATGTGGGAGTTCGAGGGCGTCCGCGCGCAGGTGCTGAGCGCATTCAAGGAGCACATGCGTGGTGCGAACAGCATGGACACCATTCTACTCTACCAGGAACTCCACATAAACATCGACGAGGACTTTGTCCTGGCTGTGCAGAGCACCATCGAGAGAGAGGAAGAAGTCTCGTACGACGAGGCGGAGAAGCTGGAGCTGGGGACCCTCATGCGACTGTGTACCATACGGGGCTGGTACTCGGCAACGAGAGCAAGGGCTCAGCTTCCCAGCAAAGTGTGCGCCGCATGGAACGTGCCAGCCCTGGCTCCTCAGATACTGAGACCCACTCGGATCCCTCGGGATTGTGGGGATTGGGGGGATTGGGGGGATTATTGATTAACAAACGGTCCCAGGGGCGGGAGCACATGTCGCGGGACATTTATGCAAACCCTGGTGGCCACCGCGCCTGTCATACATGTGTCAGATCATATATAAATGCCTCCGGCAGCCTTCGGTCACACTTTAACTGCGCTTTCTTCCTTACAGCCATTCTCCACCTTGCCGGTACACGCCCGCTGAGATGGTTGAGCCATGGCCGCCATTCCCGTCGTTGCTTGCTGGTCTTCCATCCTGCAGTTTGCGGCAACATACCCGGCGCTCGCCTCGGCCAAATTCCCCGGATTATGTTGTGCGATGACTTGAAGCCGACTTCCACGACATTGCACATTTCACTCATCGTACTCAATCCAGTGGGTTGCGTAGCATCGACCTTAACGACCTGTCTGCTTGAGACTCAAGAGCTAGCGTTCCGCCGAGGCCAAACACGACTCAATTCACAGCCTTCCACCTTCTCTCTCTGCAGAATGGACCTCGCTCGGCGCTCGCCCTTTTCATACGTTTACTGGCCCGAAAGCATCGGGAGCTCTGGCCGTCGCGCCGCGTGGACGCGTACGCACATCTGTAAGCGCTTATGCGTCAGTGACAGGGATGACTCCTCGCCTACGGCTGTCCACGTACGTCACCCATTGCCACGCCGACGACGGGCGTGGGAGGCAATAGAATGCACCTGATATGCGCGTATAAAGCTGGCCCCGCGGGGAAACCACCTATCCATCCTGCCCCCGTTCTTCCAACTCTCTGTTCCTGAACAATCCTATCCCCCTTCCTGATTGAAGATGTCCTCCGCTATCATCCTCCCTGAAGGGTACGTCGATGCGCTTTGCTATGAATTGAGCGACAGCTGACTCGTCTTTTCCAGCTATGCGTATACTGCTGCGGCAATCGTCTCCACGTTCTGGCTGACCACCTTCCAAGCCTTCAAGGTCGGAAGGGCTCGCAAGGCGGCAGGAATTGCGTACCCACAACGTACGTTCGCCTTCTCGGGGTTCACTCTAGAGTTCTTAACCTTGCGTATATCTTTCAGTTATGGCTGAGAAGGCTGAGGCCGCGGCCTCCAAGGAGGCGCAGATCTTCAACTGCACACAACGTACGTCTCTTCTCCCTCTCTTGCACCGCACTCACCGAACGCGCGACTGTAGGTGCACACCAAAACACTCTCGAGTCGCTCCCCCAGCTCATCTCTGCAACACTCATTGTCGGTCTGAAGTATCCCTACTTTGCCGCAGCAGCGTGTGGCACCTGGACGGTGGCGCGTCTCCTCTACACTATCGGCTACTCGTCCGGTGACCCTAAGAAGCGCTCCTTGCTTGGTTCGGGGGTCCTGAACGGTCTTGTTACCGTGGGTATGTGCTCTCGCGCCCTTGATTCTACGCGGGGTGGTGCTGACACGGAGTCTGCCTGCAGGGCTCGTTCTCGGCGCGTCGTCATACACCGTCTACCAGCTCATCTGTGCTTAAATGTACGACAGCCTGTGGTAGATAATAATGTTCTTATCTCAACATGCGCTCCATCTTGCGCTTCATGAGATTGTCCCGTAACCTTGACGGTCAGCTCAGGTGGGAAGATTCTAACTTATGTTTGTCGGATGGCTTTGCGCTTTGGAAGGGTCCCTGGCTTTCGCTGGTGTACCACTGCACAGAAGCTTAAAGGCGTGGAGGGGGAATACTCTCTGGTCTAGCTGCACGACAAATCGCACAAACGGTCTAAATATTCTATATGATGCTGTTATGCCGTTCGGAGCTCTTCGTCACACCTGACACGCGGTCCCGTGACATCGTGACCTCAAATATTGCCACACGCGCAGCTGCGTCTCTGCCAGGCACGACGATCGTCGAGTTGCTTTCCATCTTCGCCTCGGTATCTCTGCTTGTAACGGTACGGATCCTCGCCACCGAGACTAGTTCAACTCACTGCTAGGTAAATGAGCTCAACTCTGTAGCCAGGACGCGTCAATTTGACTTCATTTGTCTAGGATAGTCCCTGGAAAGATGAGCTACCCTCCCGTGTCATATTCCCCAGCACGAGAACCGGCGTCTTTCGGGTTCTAACGTACATCACTTTGGCCAGTAATGGG